AAAAAGAAAAAAAAAAAAAAAAAAAAAAAAAAAAAAAAAAAAAAAAGGTGAACTTTTCGACGACCAAAAAAGTAAGATTTAGAAAGATATCTTGAAAGTGCAAATCCTGCACCGTCAAAATATAAAAAAGACAAAACTTGCGATAATTAAAGTTGTCATCATATTACAATAATGAAAATAAATGCATGCATCATTTGAAAAAACACAATGTTGTTACATTTTAATTCTAATAAATCATTGTCAAAGCATAAGGAGAAATTTTACATGTTCATATAGTGATTTAATAATTTGGATTATTTCAAGTTTTAGAGAAGGCGTATTTGTTTAAACTTTAAACGAAGAGGAGGGATGAAATTGCATTTTTCTTTCTTTCATGTTTATATTACTTTATTTAAAAAGATTCGGCTGTTAAAATTAATAGACATTTTTATTTATGATTATTATTTCTTAGATAGGTCACATGTGGGCAATATATCCTAGGCTTATTTATAACACGTGAAAAGTGTATTTTTCTTGCATATAGCTACTAGGTAAAGGTGATCTTTGAACATAGAATCTCTACTCATGTGTAAATTGCAAACATAAACAATTATATTTGAACTTATTTTATGCTAATACCATTCTTAACAAACAATAAATAATTGTGTTATCATATCTAATAAGTAATTGTTAATCCGCTATCTGCGATTTTGTAGAATATACACCTGCTGAAATACACTATATAGTTTTACACTATTGATTCATATACGAGATAACACACACACACACACACACATACACTCATGTGTATGTGTGATTAGTCGGTAGTTATTTATGTAGATCTGTGGTTTGAATCTACGTATTGTATTTTATCAGGTGTAGGATCTCACAAACCCGTTGTCTATGCAAATAATCGAATTAGTGCAAACATTTTTCAAAGAAAAAGAAAAAGAAAAAGAAAAGTAAACATTGTTTGAAAGGATAATGAGGAAAGAACCTTTGGCTAGGAGAAAGTGGCACAAACACTAATTTCTTTATTGACTATTGAAAATGAAAGCTCAATTCTTTTTTATTTATTTATTTTGGAAGGACCACAAATTATGAAATAATATTGATAATATTTATGCGATAAATAATTAATTAGTTAGATGAACAGTCCTCATCCTGAAATTGAGTGTTTAACAGACTATATTTGTAACTTATAATGCAATTATCCAATTCTTTTTGGAATATTTATATATATAATCTTTTATGTGCCCCAAGAAAATTGGAACCATTGCAGATAAATAATCGCTGGAAATTAAGGATATACATATTTACCATAGAATTTTTTTTTTTTACCAATTTAATATAACATTAAAGTACTAAATACAATAAACTCTATGAAATGTTTTACGTAATTTTGTATAAATCAATTATGCAAAATCATTCCATCTCATATAATAAAATACCAAACCAATAATAATAAAAAGAAGGGCAAATTACGGCCACTCTGAGATATGGCCAAACTACGAAAAAATATCTCTTGTTTGGGTAATTACAGCCACCCCTCCTAATAAATATTTTTACATAAAATTTATGTAATTCGGTTGTTTACTAATCAAATCGTATATTCAGTTCGGTAAACGGTATGAAATATTAGCGTACCGAAAATTTGTTTCGGTTTTTACCGATTTAACATCCCTAAATTTACTTTTGAACGGATTTTTCCATAAGATAATACATTGTGGAGGGGTGACTATAATTACCTTAACAGAAAGCGGTGTTTTCGTAATTTGACCATAACTCAGCGGGTGGCCGTAAGTTGCCCCAATAATAATAATAATAATAATAAAATAAAAAATAAAAAAAAAAAAAAAAAAGAGAAAGGGCAAATCCGGAAGTAAATTGGAGCCACATAAGCAGAACAATATTCCTTATACCTAACACCAAAATGCAGATAAAAATAATAATATTTTTTTACGTATACCAGAATGTAGTAATAACATATGTTTGTGTATCATATATTATCACCACCACCAAACCCTTGTTTCTTTCTAATTATCTCCGGCAACTTCTTTCTTTCACTTCACCGACAAATTAATACACCACCAACTTTTCCTTTCTTTCTTCATTTTTTTTTTAAAAACAAAAAAAAATCCTAAAAAACAAAATAAAATATAATACTAACCAGCCAAATCATGAAGCAGCTGCGCACCCATCAAATTCCGGTACGGCAGATTCTGGTTTTCTCCGCCGTCCAACAACGTGTACTGGTTATTATCTTCCACCATCTGCTCCGATCTCCCGCCGTAGAATAGCGAGTTCTGTGTCGTCCCTAACCCCACTCCTCCGCCGCCGTGCTGGTGCAGCCCTAGCGTCAGTGACACTCCACCTCCGCCGCCGCCGCCGTAGTGGACGGTTGATCCGCCGCCGGAAGAATGGTGGCTGTACGAAGAGAAGTCCAGTTCCATGGCGGCGGAGCCGTACGAGTCTCCGATGACTCTACCGAAACTGGGATTAATCTGGTGGTGCTGCTCGTTTTGAACGGCGGCGGCGGCGCCGCCCTTGTTCCTTTTGGCTTCGTTGTTGTTGTTGATTATGGAAGAAAGACACTCGGAATCCATTCTTACAAGCTGATCGTGGCTGGGTTTTAGATCTTCGCTTCTCGAATGATTCTGACTACTCATTAGCCCATCGTTCTCGTAAACGGCGGCGCCGCCTCCGCCGCCGCTGCCGTCTCCGGCGACACCCTCATCCTCTTTGAGTTCTTCCAAATACATTTCCTCCACCATGGGTTTCCACAGCCTAACCCTCGCATTGATGAACCAATTAGAAACCTATACAAAAAAAACCAAAAACACACACACACACACATTATTAATATATTCAATTTATAATAATAATAATATCATAAAATAAAGAATTAATTCAATCTTTAAAAACAAAAAAATAATGTAGTAAAAGAAATTCAAGAAAGGTATTTGCCTGGCTTCTTGAAAGACCTGTTTGGCGCGCTAAAATATGTTTATCCACATCACTCGGATACCTTCAACAAACAAAAAATCACAACTTTAGTAATATTAGAAGGTAAAATGAAAAGGTGAAAAAGGGTAAAAAAGGAAGAAAAAAAATTACGGGTGAAGAAAGTGCTCGAAAAGCCAAGCCCGAAGAACGGAAACCGATCGTTCGGGTAGGCCTCGTTGCGGGCGCCAAGGATGAGATTCCATCAAGCTCATTTGCTGCATTGCTCTTTGTTGCCTAAGTGTTTGATCGAGTAATCTTAGCCTCGGCGTCTCGCCTTTCACCGACCCCGGTGCGGAAACATCCTTATCCCCCATCGCCTTCTTCGCGGCCTTTATTTGGCTCACAATCCCGTCCCTTAGGCATCGAAAATGACGCGACATTGCCCTCGACGCTAATGACGAATATACCCTCGCCGATCCGTTCCCGGCCGTCGATTCGAACGACGATATCACGGCTTTCATCTGGTCGCAGTACCGCTTGTACCTTCTATCCACCTAATTTAATTTACACAAAACAAGAATTAATCTTTTCTCTCCTTTTTTTTTTCGAAATTAATTTAATGGAAGAATATTGCGAAATTATGTATATATGTATATACCTCCTCGAGCATTTGGAGGAGCTTGGCTTTTCGTCGCTGGAGCTCGAGAAGGTCGAGGGTTTTAATGGCGGTTTCGTCGACGAGGGATGAATCGGTGGGTTTGGGAGGCTTCGATTTGTGATCGATTTCGTCGGTTTGGAGGCTGCAGAATTCGTAGAGAAGTTCTTGAGTTGGGAGTAAGTACTTTGAGTTTGTTATTACAGCATGTGATTGATGGTTGTGAATATTATCAATCACGTGTTGATGATGATGATGATGCATAAGAACATCGGACTGCATATTGATCACGTGTTGATTTTGATTTTGATTTTGATTTTGTTGTTGATGGCGGATGAGTTGGAAGGACTGTAATTGTATGGTTGAAGGATTGGATGAGCTTAAGGAGAGAGAAAGTCCTTGGCTTGGTCTTTCGTTTCCTTCACATGGGAATACAGCGCCGCCGCCGCCGTCATCACCGAGGAATCTGTTCTGGTGGTGGTGGATGTTGTTCCACGACGACGATGACGGTGGTGTCTGGTTCTGAATCGCGTCGGAATAGTTTTGTTGGTGTTGGTAGAAGTGGTCGGCGGATGTGGGGTCGTCGGTGATTTCCTTGGATGAGGACGATGACGCGCCGCCGCCGTTGTTGTTGTTGATGTTTCCGGTGGGCTTGGTGGCGGAGGAGAAGAAGCCTTTCCAGAAACCGGGGTTTTCGGTTGTGTGTTGATGATGATGATGATGATGATGATGATGCTTCGATGGAAACCCTATCATTTCCATGCCGGCGGTCAGGTTGTAGATCTCGGCGGCGGAGGTGCTGGTGGTGGAGGGATCGAAGCTTTGCTGCGTCGGCGGGTGGCTCATGAACTGCGCCGCCGGAATATTCTGGTTTCCGGTACTCGAGGAAACGTCGGAGTAGATGTTGTATCCACTCTGCGCCACCATAATGTCTCTTGATTTCTCCTCACGACCCGCCATATATACTTATATATATATATGTATATCTAAACACACACAACAAGTGTGTACTGCGTGTGTTCTTTGTGTATACAGTATATATATAAATATAAATATATATATATCTTCTTCTTTAATTCAGACACAGACAAAGTAGTTCAAACTCGCATCATCGGACCCCTGTAATAAAAGATTATCATCAATCAAGATCCATTAACCCATATCAATCAATGCAATAAACCTCCATCTATTAATTATATTATTAATTATTAATTATTATATCAAAAAAAAAAAAAAAACACGATGACCCCTTTAAATTATTTCTGTGTGCGTGTGACCTTTTATAAAAAGCTTCAATCTTTATTGCTTAAATTATGTCCGCACGATGAGAGAGAAACTAGAGAGAGAAACAAGAGAGAGAGAGAGAGAGAGAGAGAGAGAGAGAGAGAGAGAGAGAGAGAGAGAGAGAGAGACAAACAAACAGACAGACATCTTTCCATGGTTATACTGTACTGTACTGCTATGGTATTAACTAAAACAACTGTTATAGATGGAAGATAGATGAAGAAAATTCAACTTTATATATATTATATTTCATATATATATATATATATATTATATGAACAAACAATTAAAACCTAGTATAAAGAAGACACAATATTATTATTATTATTACTAATAATATTATTATATTACTGTTAAGAAAGGACTAAGGAGATGAGAGAAATAATAGCCATTGATCATGACCTGCAACCCACATTCATCATATACTTTCTCTCTCTACTCTCTCTCTAAAAGAAAGAAAGAAAAAAAAAAGTGGGTCAATGTAGAATGATATATATAATACTACACTCATATGCATACAAACTAGACTTCCTAGATATATTGGGGGGCCCAAACCCCCCCTCAATTATTTCATAACGCCCACCATTATAATACTGATTAGAACCATCCAAAGACTTTTTATTTTTTTTATTTTTTTTAACAATTCTTTTGACTCTAATCATCAACTAATCATCCAATAATATATATATTAAATTAAATTAGTTTCTAATATGTAAATATATTAAAGATTAGATTCATGCATATATAATTATATATATATATATATATATATGTGGTGGGTGAGAATCCCTAGAACTGAAGCTAAACTGGGAGTTTTGAGCAGGCTTTTGCAGAGTGTTCTAATACTGTGACTCTGTTTTTTTTTTTTTTTTGTGGGGCTTATTATAATCTGATCAAAATTCAATACAACAGTGAAATTTCAGATAAATATATATAAATATTATTTATATTATAATGATTAAATAAAAAATAAAAAATATAAATGGGAATTAGATGCGAATTGTGTGTAGTGCAAAATGTTCCAATAGTAGGGCCTGTGAAGGTCATGAGATGAGGTGGTCCATGTTTTCCAACTAATTCCCAATTCAAATTACCAACCTATTTAATTTTTATTATTTATTATTTATTATTTAAAGCCCTCCACCAATCACTTTTTTTCTTTTCTTTTTTTCTTTTTTTTTTTTGTAAATAAATAAATTTAAATTCGAATTAGATAAATTGCAAATTATGTCCCATTCTCAACTAGTTATTAGTTATTACATTAATAAGACCTAAGTGATTGGTCACATACAAATTATTTTGGTAGCACAACCACACATTCACAGGGACATAAATCGAACAGATCGAATATGAATAAGCACTTTTGAAATCTATCGTTTTTTGTATTTTTTTCTTGTGAAATGAAAAATTAGTCCCAATTCTATTGAGAAAAAAAAATTAAAAATCAGATTTTTTTTGGGAAATAAAACATTAATTCCAATTCTAAGAAAAAAAAACTTGTTGAAAATCGAAATTTAAAGAATTGGAATGAAAAAACTTGTTCCAAAATTTAAAAAAAGAAAACATATTCGGATTGGAATCAACGTAATTCGGAAAATTCCAATGTTTAGTAACTTAAGAATATAAAATACATCATAATAATGATATTATAAGTGTAATTTTCGAGAAAAATCGGATATTTCGAATTATAAATCGGAAATTAAAATCGTTTAATAGATCGGAATCTCATATATATATATTCAAGTTTTACATATCAAAGAAAACTGGGTTAAAATCAGAATCAGATTTTTCGGAATTCAGAATGAAAAATTCGGATCAGAAACGGCGAAAAATCCAAAATCGAAAATTCCGTTCAAATTTTCACCGTTACGTACACTCCCAAAGTAATGGCTCCACCCTAACATTGAAACCAATCTTGTTTTTGTTATCTTTCTTTTCAATGGGGCCAGCATCTTTCTTCATTTCACAAATTGAATTTATTTGTTTTCCAAATGTGACAAAAAAACCCAAAACTATTTCACATGTTGTGGTATTTTTTGTCACCATTCTGAAAAATCATTTCATTATTAACGTTTGGGGTTCATTTAATTATAAAATCCAGTTTGATGAAATTAAATTGTGTGACATGAGCATAAACAAACCTTGCTCTAGCTACCTTCGACTTCAATTAACTAATTGCAATAATTTTGTCGGTCATAATATTTAATCATCTAATTAGATAAAATGGCCAAATCCCAATATTTTACACGTTTGAAACGCAATAAAACCCTAACCGTGATCTGTATACATAATAATACACACACCATGTGTATGTTTATTTAGTGAGTATTTACGATTTAAAATCACATGTTGTAATTCACCACGTGCATGATTTCATATAAATCGTGAAACATTATTATATACTTATACTCAATGAAGTTAGACTGATAATAAATATTGTATCACAATTTTAGACACATTCGTACATATATATGTATGTCGGGAGTTATATGCTACATCAGGTTATTTACACCTGGTGATTGTAAACCGTAGATTAGACTAAATAACAGTTCATTAAACACACGTACACATGAGTGTGTGTGTTACCGAACAGTCGGAATAAATAACCGGACGTGGCATAGAATTCCCCTATGTACTTCATCATGTGTAAACTAATAGTGATGCATTCTACCTTGGGTGTAAACCTACAGTGACACATTTTACCTTGGGTGTAAATTAATAGTGATTGAATATACTTGGTTTTATTTTTCTTTCGATTAAAGTTTGTAATTATTTATTTATTATTTACTATTTTCTATAAATTCTCCAAAAAATATTTTTAGAAGTACTCGAAAATCCTCCGGTCCTAAACCAAAGCTTTCGGATTTGTTTGTATGTGTATGAAATTGTGTATAATAAAATACAAATAAGTATATGAACAGATAGGCGAGGGCTATAGTGGTTTACTTGGACCTATACCCGATGAACTTCATCGAACGTATTTATTATCCACGTGTATATAGTAAAACGACACTTTAACACACATCTACATGTCTATGTATGTGAAATTACCTGATGTATCTCATGCCTCCGGTAGGAATGTAAAATGGAACGGAACTTTTGGATTCCGTCGATTCTGATTTGAATATTTTGCATTTTAGAACAATATTTTTTATTAGGGAAGGTCACCTTCTAATTTTCAATCCAATTTTGATTTCCTAAAAATACAATTGTAAAATTAATATTATTGTGTATATTATATTATATTATATTATTACGTGACAAAAAAATGAAAAAAATTCAGATTCCGACGATTTCGAGATGACAATTTCCAAAATTCCAATTCCAATATCAAATTTCAAATCCAATTTTCGACTTTTTTGATTAATTGTTGGAACAAACTTGGAATTATTTTCACTCGAAAAAAAAAATATAGATTTTTTTTCTCGAAAAGGTTAATCCCGATCCGATTCGATCCGATCCAACTCGCAAGTGAAATGAGGGGACCTTTTTAGAAGTTGAAAAGGGAAGGTGGTCCTTCACCCACCTCCCAAACCTTTCTCAGCCGCTTACCATTTTCTCTCCCCTCCTATACAATTTCATGCATACGAGACTGTTGACGTCACCCTAAATATAATTTTAATGGCTTAATTTCACTTTACACCCTTGGAAATAATTTATGGCACTTTATATCCTAAGACATGTTTAATCATTCAAATTGCACCCTATTATATTTTCTGGTTAAAATTTCCACCGTTGACCTATTTTCTAATTGTCAACGGAGTCATTTTTGCTAAAAAAATACATTTGCATTTTGCAACTCGAAGAAAAAACAATTGAATAAAAAAATGACCATGTTGACGATCATAAAATAAGTCGACGATAGAAAATTATGGCTGAAAAATAGACTAGGATGCACTTTGAATGTTTACACATATTTTGAGGGTGCAAAATGTCATAAATTATTTTTAATGATGCAAGGTGCCAAAATTGAACACTTCGAATGTGCGAATTGAAATTAAGCCTAATTTTAATATTTAATTTTGGCGCCGGGAATCGAACGATGCGCACC